CTGCGTCTGTTTATCGCAAAACAGTTTACGGCCACATTATTTGGATTATTTAGAAAGATACACTGGAAGTAATTTTAAGATTTTTTTAAATTTTTAATTATCGAATGCCTGCGTGCGGGGAATATGTCAAACGAGATGTCCAAAGAGGCTGTGTAGCCTTTCTTTCTTCCAAGAATTTTTTTTGTGTCGGAAAAATTATTGTTGGTATTTATTCAAATCCATCCAAACCCAAGATTGATTTCAGGTGTCGATCAAAATTTTCGTAGTAAAGTCTTGGGAATTTTCGAGGGTTGATCGAGGCCACCGAGTCTTTTAAAACTAACTAAAACAAAAGTTTCAACTTTGATTTGTTGGAGTTAGTGGAGCAGGTGTTTTGTGGAAGGTGTAGAGTTGACCGCACGCCATTGCACAGAGCAGTAGGTATATATTTGTAATAGCAATCACATTTTTTTATTAAATGTTCTTAAAGTTCACACCGAGGTACACACCTTTTTCGATATAGAAACGCCACTGACCATAAATTTAAAGTACGTAGATTGTTAACAACTTTTTAATAATTGTTGATACCATACAAAAGAACTTCTTGCAGTTGTAGTTCTGAAGATATTAGATATATTCAGTGTTCCAGTCAAAATGTTCACCCTGTATATGAGATGGCAAAACGTGAATGTCACGTTTTTTAGAACACTTTTCTATAGTTCTATGCACGCACGAGAAAATTCTTTTTGCCTTTTTAGTAACAGAATACACAATACTAAAACACATTTCTTTAGGAAATACGATGTGAGCCACTCGAATTCGTCTCGTTTCAACATCCTTCCGAGATTAAAATGAGTTTAATCGCTTGGTACATTGATTACTATTGTAGTAGCCGAGGTAGTAGCCTTCCACTTCAAACAATTCTTACCCCAATGATTGAATTAGGTACCTACACTTACTATATACAAATAAATACACACTCGCTTTCCCTTAGCACCTCGCTTAGTACTTAACGAGGTACTTACCTACAATGTTTTGGTCGGTATTGACATGATGGTACTTTAAACCCTAATTTAGGCATTGAAATAAATATTTTCACCACAGGAAGGGGAGAATTTACCACCTTAATCACCTGGACTGCAAAAATTGCTTGGTTTGGGTTCAGTTTCGTTTTAGGAAGACGGCTCGGGTACATCTGGGCTGAATTAAAGCCTCTGCCCTTAAATTACTCAAATCAGATGTTCTTGTAATAGGACTAAGAAGGAAAGAGATATGAACGCGCGTTTCCGAGACTTCACATCCGTAAATTGAACCAAACCGGAACTGATATGATTATAGTAGCTATTGATAAGCCAATAACATGCACGCAATTTTTCCACAATGCCCCAAGCAACAAAGAATTTTGTTGACCAGATCAATTTAAGGTATTTGTGGTATTTCCTAGCGAGTGAATCACAGTGGATATAACGATACAATGCCGATCGAAGGTAAAATGGATGAACCACCCTGTGCATGACGGTCGGCGAAGGAAGATGAACACATGTTCCGCAGCGTTCCCAAAAGGGCCCGACAGGGTAAATAATTACAAATTGTAAACTTTGCATTTAATACAGATACAACCTGTAAGCAATTTTCAAAGGTTAATTATACCGATTGTTAATTGCAATTATAGCAAAAATGCAATACTCACCAAAACTTCCGTAAACCTCCTTTCGAGCTCGTTGGGATCTGGCATGGGCCGTTTCGATTTAGCGCGTATACTCGGCTGCCTTCCGTGCCCATATTTCGAAGATATAATGCTTTCGGGCCTGTCGGATAAATTATTGTGCTGCTGCTGCTGCTGTGTCGCAGTCTCTTCTTTCGAAGTTAACAATCCCATTGTACGAATCTACACGAAATAATCACTCATTTTATGTACGACACTCAACAGTCTATGTAATTGTTCATGTTTTATTTAAATAATAAACGTGTGAAAAGCAACAGGTATCGTAATGTAAATAAACGGCACATAACCACACCAATTCTACCAACAAACAGGAACTGAACTGACTAACGCAACGGCGACGCACACAAAAATGAAAACTTTGTTCAAAACATCGACGTGCGCATTGCACCTTGTGCGCACAACAGAGCCGTATTTAGAAGAATTCGTTTTGCAATCGAATTTAAATTCCCTGTTAATTTGCCCTGACTTTTCAGTCTATCCCGTACCTGCTGTATTTACATTGCAAGGCGAAGGATCTTCGAATTATCAATACCCCTAATTTAATCCGAACGTGTTCACAACGCCGAATTCTCGATAATGACCACAAACATCTAACTTGGCTACACTCCCCAACGACATCCGTATTAAACATCAACAACGCCTTATCAAAATAAATCTTGACCGTTACCCCCAATTTCCCACCGCATATAATAAGAAAATTGCTTGAACTCCCATTCGTCTTGATCGCTAGAAGCGCCCTAATGAAATTAATCTCATTAGGAGGGGAGTATTTCGCCAATTCCTACAATCTCGAGACGCCGCACTTAAGGACCTAATCAGTCGGGATACGATAAGACTTCCGCTCTGGACTACAACAGGGACGGACGTCGCTTCTGGTGCCAGATCAATAATAATAATAATAAAGTTTATTATCCCAACAGTGATAACACCAATTATAGGGCAATATTAGTGACAACAGTCCGAGACAATAGCAGTATTAACATACTTAAGTGACAGATGGCAAAAGACAGTAAAGAGCACGTCCTTAGTTGTTAAAGTGGTTCAGGGGCGCCGGAAGAAAATGCGCTAGGGAGGGGCCCTTACATTTTTGGAATAGAAAATGTTACCTAACTATTTTTAAATTAGTAAATCAATAGGATACGCAGCTAAACCATATATCCAATAAAAATCATTGGTGTAATAGTGTAATAGGTACATATTAGACACAAAACAAAACAAGAACAAAAGTAACAAGTTACAGTAGTTTACTGAAACAAATATTAGCACAGATACCACTCTCACACCGGCGCATGCGCGTTCTACCTTCATTTACGTCTAACCATATGTGTACCAAATTTGGTTCCAATCGGTTCACCCGTTTAGCCGTTAATGAGAGTTTAACACATTTGCGCATGAGCTATAAGTATTCTCCCGGAAAGCTTTTCAGCTCTTCCTTTTATATCTAAGAATAGGTGCACCAAATTTGGTAATAATAACAGTACACTACAGACAGACCGAGATAATCAAAATTTTGTTGGATTCGGAATCCTAGTGTTTCAAAACGTGTATTTCCGTAAAAAAGTGGGGGGGGTGATTTTTTATCCCAAATGCAATACCTCCCTTACTAACGTGCGGGTGATAACAATATTTCAGGGCGTAAGGCAAATTCGAGGGCACATTAAACTGTTTCTGCATATTTTTTGCTACTCAAAACTATAACAAATTACCAACCATAATGTTATTGATTACAATGTTGAATGTAGCGTAGGATAAAACAATTTAATTATTTCGAAAGAATAAAAATTCCTCTTACGTGATGATTTTGTACGTCTGCCTGTACATCTGTTCCTCGTCTATCTTGAGAACGAAACGACACAGCGATGAACCTTCGCCAATCCATTTCTACGAGTTCAAGGATCAGTGCTATATTGAATATGAGTCGGATTAAAAGTCTGATTTCCCAATACGAGCTGAGTAACAAAAAATTCCCCTACTGAAGAATAGCTGGGGAAGGAAGGGACTAATCCAAAAAGTCTTTTGTCGTTCTGGTCTCGAGGCTGTGCTACACCGTATAAGAAAGAAACCACAACGAAATAGCTTAAAGTGGAGGACTAGTAATGGTAAAGACGGACAAAGTGCGGACAATAGCGTTCATTTTCCTTTTGGAAAATGCGCTCAAAAGCGCCGAACCGAAATATGTAACATGACAGCTTATTGTCATTGATGGTTTTCCAAAACAAACAGCCACCCTGCGGTCTTCGGTTAATTTAATCTCTATAGTCTATACAATATGGGAACTTTATGGACATTGAGGTAACTCAATAAGGTTATAAAAGGTTTGCCTACTTTTGCTTTGTCACCGAACAGTGATGGGACAGAAAAAGGTGGCTATTCTGGTTTTATCGTGAGCTTTCAACATTTTCTAAAATGGATTAAGCGATTTATAAATCCCAGGGAGGGGTCCGGGCCCCCCCTTGCCCTTTAGTAGCGGCGCCCATGAAGTGGTTAATTACATTCTTCAAAAACTGGCCATAGCTATCATTAAATATATCCACATTTATATTACAAGATAATATTTGATTACAAATTTTCGCCATTTTATGAAGAGGAGAATTTGCTTGATGATAAGTGTTAGGCTTTTGACAATAAAAAATATTATAATTCCTTTTAAACCAGATCTAGGTGTCCTCAACTTAATCTGTATGGCATGGCATCACAGATTATTGAAAAAGATGGGGGTTTTATTTTTCCAATTTTCCGTCTTTATTATACAAAAAATTGAAAACTAATACGGTTGATTGACGTAAAAAAATTTTTTCTACAAAAAACCTTAATACATTTTTGCTCTAAAATAATTTAAGGAGCCAATAATCGCATGTTATGAATTATGCGTTACGCAAGTCATCACCCTGTATAGGCTTTACACTGTAGTGATAAGGTCAATAATACTGTATGGTGGCCTACCATGCCCAGGGCAACTTACAAGAATTCGCAATAAGTAAGGTATAGAGACTCGCCTGTCTGGGAGTCACTGGAGCCATGAAAACCACACCAACTTTAGCCATGGAGGCACTTCCGATCCCTTCCTCTTAAGAGGGATGTGACCAGGGCTAAAAACAGAAGAGTTTTGAAGTTACCCTTCCGGACAGGGAGCAGTGGCTGAACTCAGATTGCATGTTGCTCAAACCTGAGGGGCTCGTCCGCTTTACAGACGAGTATTTGTAACAAATAAATTGACCCTCTGGGTTTGCAATTTTCATTACACCAAAACAAATCATAAAGTTTATTGATTTCCCACTAAAACACATAAAAAATACTTGTTTATTCTTTTTAATGACAGACATTATATGGAGATCTATGTGAAGATTGGCATAAATTTCTAAATCTAACAATATGGCAATCTAAATCTAAAAAAATAAACATATACCTAGTTCATAAAACTGAACCAGATGGCAGATCTTTGCTATATTATTTAAAAGTTTATGTAAATAATAAAGTAATTCGAATGTCTGCTTTGTAAACAGAATAGTAAAAATGTATCTTAATGCATTTAATAAAAAGAGGTATATTTACAAAAAACTAAAATAATGTAAAAATCTAAATTTGTACTTATACTCTATTAAAACAAATCTAAGTCAATATTTTTCGTCTCGACCTCGTGGTCGGTTGAGAATCAGATCCTTTCTCTTCAGCAAATGTGACAACTCGCCGTGCCCTTCTGGTGGACAACTCTACCATCGCTTCCTCAACAATTTCTTTCGAACTTTTTTTCGCTTTTTTTGCCGTGCCATTTTTCTCCACAATCTCCGTGTCCACCTGGTTCCTGCCACGTTTACGGGTCTCTTTTATTTCGATTTCCGGCGACTCCAAATTATTGTTTGCTGCGGCGCGCGCTCTTGTTGATCTAGTGGGTACAACTCGTTCGTCCGTATCTTCTCCTACTGTCTTTTTATTGATTTTTCTCGTTGATTTAGGATGTTTCTGGCTACCAGTTGATGCAGGATTGATAGTTGTATCATCATCGGTTGTGTCAAGTTCTTGATTTGTTTTTACCACAGCCCTCTTGTTTCGTGTCGATCGGGGCTGCATTGGTTCAACGAATACTTCGTCTTTCTTGACTCTACGAGTTGATCTAGGTTTAACAGTTGAATCATCATCAGTTGTCTCTGCTTCAGAATCTTTTGGCACCACCGTCTTCTTATTGCGCGTTGGTGCTTCTTTTTTTGCTCTACGAGTTGATGTAGGTTTGGCAATCAAATCGTCGTCCTCAGTTGTTTCATCTTCTTTATGCTCAGGTTCAGAATGTTTTTGCACCACGGCCTTTTTGTGGCGTATCGATCGAGCTTCAGCAGTGACTTCTTTTTTGGCTCTACGAGTGGATCTAGGTTTAAGAGTTGAATCATCGTCAGTTGTCTCATCTTCTCTATACTCAGATTCAGAATCTCTTTGCGCCGTCGCCTTCTTGTTGCGCGTTGATCGAGGTTGTGTTGGTTCAGCAATTACCTCTTCTTTTTTGGCTCTACGAGTTGATCTAAGTTTAACAGTTGAATCATCAATTTCTTCACACTCAGAATCGGGCTGTAACTGCACAGCAGCTTTCTTGTTTCGCGTTGATCGGGGTTGCATTGGTTCTTCTTTTTTAACCAACTTCTGTTTGCGAGTTGATGCAGCTTTGATAGTTGAATCGTCATCAGTTGAGTTGACTTCCTGATGCTCAATTTTAGCAAAACGGCCCGTTTTGGCCCGTGAGATAACCTCAGGTTTCTGGTTGCGAGCAAGTGCAGGTTTTGCGTCCTCATCTGTTGTATCATCTTGGTTTACTTGCTTGGCACTACGAGCTCTTGTCGACCGGGATTGTACCGGTTCAGTTTCCACTTTACTATCCACCAAATTTACAAGTTGAATGGAACTTTCCTGTTCGGGAAGGTCAACTTCTTGATTGGATTGGTTAATGCGGCGACTTCTTTGCGATTTTGGCTCAATTTTTTTGTCACTCACTTCAAGTTTCTTATTTTTTTGATTCAATCGGTTTCTGGTTGCTCGTGTTGAAGTAACCTGAGCTTCGGACACATTGCTTGCATCAGAAAGTTCTATTACACTTTCGTCTTTGCGGTTATCCGGAGCTTTCCGGCGCAGATTTCGCTTGGGCACCACGAAATTGTCATCTGTATTATTCCCACTATCACCCGCTTTTGATTCAATACGTTTACGTTTCGGTCTACCTACATCCACTTCCTTCTTCTTCTGATTGTCAGTTAAATCACTACCAGTTTCTGCTTTTTGAATTTTTGCAATTTTAGCTTCTCTTCTGCGTGTAGTTCTCACTTGACTCTCACTTTTAGACTCGTTCGGTTTGATGCTCGAGTCTATGAAAGGCTGTGTTTCTTGATCATGCACAGATTCCTTCACAACATCCTCTAGTTGAGCAACGTTCTTCGTTTCTACACTGTCCTCTACACTGCTCTGCCTTCGTGAGTTTGTACCAAGTATATGATCGGCAAGCTTTGCAGACAAACGTCTAACGCGTTTACTTCCCTCGCTGTCGTAACCATCCTCCCTGTCCGGGGTAAGTAAGTGCGGTGCGAAATTTTCTTTGCTAGTCTTGCTAATCGGAGTGGACGTATTGCAGAAAACATTAACCACGGATTTATTTTGAATTTCCGATAAGATTTGAGACGATTCCAAATTCTTTCCCAACAATTCGAGATTTTGTTCTTCTACCCATTTTTCTACGGGCGACTCCATGGGCTTAGATGAATCAAAAAGCGGCTTATGCTCGCGCGTCAGCGGGCTCTTCTTCGGTGACGCTTTACCGGGATATTGTCTCATCGGTTTCCTTTCAATTAGCCTATCAAATTCGTCCTCGAATAAATTGGCGACACCCGATAGGTCCATCGACTTGTCAGCTTTTTGCGAAGGTGTTCTGAACATCTTTCTGACACCTTTGAAATCACTAAGGTCGTTAGTTGGGGAACGCGACACTGCTGGTTCAAATAAACCTCGAACGCCCCTTACATCGGTCAGATCATTTTTCGGCTCTCTCTGTGGCCTTGGGGTTTTCAACAGCTTTTTCACGCCCTTAACGTCAGTTATATCGTTCCTGGGAGATCGGCGAGCTCTTGGCGACGCGTAGAGCTGCTTGACCCCCCTAACATTCGTCAGGTCGTTTACAGGGGTGCGCATTTGTTTTCCTTCAAATAGGTGTCGAACACCTCGAACGTCACGCAAATCGTTCTCCGGTTCATTTTGAATTTGGGGCGTTCCCAGCACTCGCTTTACGCCTCTAAGATCGCTCAAATCGTTCTTGGGTTCTTTTTGAACCTTGGGCGTTTTCAATACCATTTTCACGCCGCGAACATCGCCCAAATCGTTCTTGGGGGGCTGCTGAATTTTGGGCGTGGCGTACATTTTCTTCACACCTCGAACGTCGGTCAGATCATTCTTCGGAGACTGCACCCGTTTGGCTTCAAACAAGTGGCGTACACCTCTCACATCGCGCAAATCATTTTCCGGAAGCTCCTGCACTTTTGGCGTCTTTAGCAGTTTCTTCACTCCCCTAACGTCAGTAAGATCATTAGCTGGCGACTTTGGTATTGGCTTTCTTCTCCTTTTCGGGTCTCTCGGGGTTGACAAATCAGGCGACCGTTTGCGTTTGCTCTCTTCGGACACGGGTGCAATCGGGAAATCGTCAACCGCTGGTAAATTAGAGATCGAAGATTTTGGTGATCCATCACGAATAGTTGTAGTGTCTGCAGATTCTTCGGATAAGATAATATCACCCTGCACAGATGGGACCGGTGCATTTTCACTCTCTTGGGAGTCGCAAACGCTATTGGTATCACTTTGGTTGGAGGTTGGGGTATGCTCACCGAAATTAAGCTTCTTCCTCATAGAACGCGTTAGTGCTACAGGACTTGGTGCAATCTGGTTGGTAAGCGGAGTCTTTATAGCAGATTTTTTCGAACTGTTTTGAATTGGACTCTCATTTTCCGGAAGTTCCCGAATTTGTGGCGTCTTTAGCAGTTTCTTCACGTCGCTAAGATCATTCTTCGGAGACGGCTGGGGTTTGGGCGTGGCAAACATTTTCTTCACCCCCTTTACATCGGTCAGATCATTCGCTGGCGATTGAGGCGTTGGTTTTCTTCTCCTTTTGGGATCTCTCGGGCTTAACAAATCAGGCGACCGTTTGCGTTTGGTCTCTTCTGGCATCGGCGCAATCAGGAAATCTTCAACCGCCGGCATATTAGAGATTGAAGATTTTCGCTTGGATAGTGACTCATTTTCATCATCACAACCAGCTGTAGTGCCTGCGAAATTGTCTACAGATTCTTGGCATAAGATATTTTCGTTGTCTTGGAAGTCGGAAACACTGTCAGTAACATTTTGGTTGGAAGTTGGAGTATGCTCACCAAAATTAAGCTTTTTCCTCATGGAACGCGTTAACGTGGCAGGACTTGGAGCCATCTGGTTGGTAAGTGGAGTTTTCATGGCAGATTTTTTCGAACTTTTCTCAATTGGATTAAGTCTCAAAGCTTGTGGAGTTGTTTGTTTTGATCCAGAAGAGGAATTCTCCTCGCTTAACTTGCTCATTGAACGAGTCAGTTTTAGAACATTTGCAACAGTTTCTCTAGCAGCCGGTGTTCCTATTACAACTTCATCAAGTTCTTCATTGTCACTTGATTCTTTTGAAGCTAGTGGTTTTGACTCCAAATCATCAGGTTTATTAACATTAGAATTCAAATCACTTGACTTCTTTACAGAACGAGTTTGTCGAATTGGTGTCAAATTTTGTTTACCCGGGCTTTGTTCATCGGGGACATTGCACACGGGTTCTTTCAATTCTTCCTCATCTATCAATGACAGTTCTTTGACCTCCAAGACTTCGTAGTTAGAATCAATTGAATCGGGAAGTGTTGGCAACTTTTTTACAGAACGAGTGATGGGCGTGGTTATTGCAGATTCGTCTTCCATTTCACCATCAGATTTGACCAATTCTTCATCAGAAACCGACTTTGGTAACTTGATACTATTTGGTTGAGCGCCTTCTTGATTATTAGATTGTTGCGTCTTCCTTGCAGATCGAGTTGGCATTCGAATCGGCGTAGCATTTTGTTTTGCGGGCGTTTTCATAATAAATTTATCATCTTGTCCGTCTCGTGATTTTGATTCGGACTCTTCCTTGGCACTTTCACCTATCAATGGCACTGAATCATTTGTATCATGAAGCACTGGTAGCTTTTTCGCGGAACGAGTCAATGTTCGTTTATTGGCAGGCGTCCTTGTCGCAGACCCGTCTTCCATTTCATCGCCAGATTTGATAGCACTTGACTTCAATGGTTTTTTGGCGCTCAGTATTTGAGGAGTCTTCGCATGACTATCCTGAAGATCTTGGGTCGATTCTGGCAGCTTCTTTACAGAACGAGTGAATCTCCGAACCGGCGTAGCATTCTGTTTAGCAGGCGTTCTGAGCGTCAATTGGTCGTCTTGGTTTACTTTCGATACCGGCTCTTCCTCAGCGCTGTCGTCTACCAATGGCAGTTCTTCAGAGCTGGTAGGTAATGTCTCAGAATCATGAAGTCCTGGTAACTTTTTGGCGGAACGAGTCAATTTTCTTTGATTGCCAGGCGTTGCTGTCATTTCATCACCAGGCTTGAACAATTCTGCAACAGCAATCGACATCGGTGGTTTCTTGGCACTTCGTCCTTCAGATGGAGTCCTTGTGCCACTTTCCTGAGTATCTTCATGACTAGCCAAACGAGTTGATTCTTGCAACTTCTTCACAGAGCGAGTGGTAAGTCGAACTGGCGTAGCACTCTGTTTGGCAGGTGTTCTCGGCATCGACTGATCATCTTGTCCCTTTTTTATAGCGCTGTCATCTACCAATGGTAGTTCTACGACGTCCGTGACATCTGAGATACTAGGTAAAGACTCACTGTTAGAATCAGTAGACTCATGAAGCGCTTCATTAACAATTTCGTCATGTTCAACAGCACTGGATTTTTTCTGATTGCCAGATGGACTTCTTGCATCAAGTGACTGACGGCCTTCTTGATTATTAGAATCAGTTGAATGACTCGATTGTTGTACTTTCTTTGCAGAGCGAGTGGTTTTTCGAAATGGTGTAGTCTGTTTAGCGGGTGTTTTCTCGATAAGTCTCGCATTTGATCCGGGCTCTTCCAAATCTTCCTCATCTATGTGTGACAGTTCATTGGCGCTTGTTGCATCTGAGCTGATAGATACTGAATCAATTGAATCATGAAGTACTGGTAACTTTTTGGCAGAACGAGTCAATTTTCTTTGACGGCCAGGCGTTCCTGTCATTTCATCACCACCCTCGAACAATTCTGCAATAGCAATGGACTTCAGTGGTTTCTTGGCACTTCGTCCTGCAGATGGAGTCCTTGTACCACGTTCCTGAGTATCTTCGTGACTAGCCAAACGAGTTGATTCTTGCAACTTCTTCACAGAGCGAGTGGTAAGTCGCACTGGCGTAGCACTCTGTTTGGCAGGTGTTCTCGGTATCGACTGATCATCTTGTCCCTTTTCTATAGCGCTGTCATCTACCAATGGTAGTTCTACGACGTCCGTGACATCTGAGACACTAGGTAAAGACTCACTGTTAGAATCAGTAGACTCATGAAGCGCTTCATTAACAATTTCGTCATGTTCAACAGCACTGGATTTTTTCTGATTGCCAGATGGAGTTCTTGCATCAAGTGACTGACGGCCTTCTTGATTATTACCATCAGTTGAATGACTCGATTGTTGTATCTTCTTTGCAGAGCGAGTGGTTTTTCGAAATGGTGTAGTCTGTTTAGGGGGTGTTTTCTCGATAAGTCTTGTACTTGATCCGGGTTCTTCTTCATCTATGAATGACAGATCATTGGCGCTTGTTGCATCTGAGGTGATAGATACTGAATCAATTGAATCATGAAGTACTAGTAACTTTTTGGCAGAACGAGTCAATTTTCTTTGACTGGCAGGCGTTCTTGTCGCAGATCTCTCTTCCATTTCACTGCCATGTGGTTTTTTGGCCGATGGCGTCTTTGTACCACTCTCCTGAGGATCTCCTTGAACCGAATCACCCGAACGATTCAACTCTTCTACGGCAGTGAGTTTAGCTGGTGTTTCCACCACGTTGCTGAGCTCTTCCTTAGCACTGTCATCTACCAATAACAGTTCATTGACCTTTGTTACAACACAGTTTTTAGAATCAGTTGAATTATGAATTGGTGGCGATTTTTTGGTAGACCTAGACGATTTTCTTCGATTGGCAGGTGTTTCACCTTTCACTGCACCATCAGATTCATGACCGCTTGACTTTGGTGATTTTTTGGTAGGAGTTCTTGTAGTACTTTGCTGAGAGTCTCCTTGACTAATAGAATCAGCCTCAGAATCAGTTGAACGACTTGAAACCTGCGATTTGTTCACAGAACCAATTGATTTTCGGTCAGGTGTTTGCATTAGAGACTCATCTTGCAATTCAATACCGGACTCTAGCAAAGATTGATTCAATTCTTCGCAACTCACCTCAACCGCAACTTGACCAATACTTTTCTTAGCAGAGGATGGCACATCGTTTGTTACATGCAAGTTTTCAAACGAAACCTCACCAGTAGAATCACTTCCATCATCAAGTGCTTGTAACTTGATAGCAGAACGAGTCAATCTGCTTTGACTGGCAGGTGTTCTCGTTGAAGATTTGTCTAGTATTTCACCATCCGACTCTGGTAAAGATTCTGCCAATTCTTCATCGTCCACCGCAGGGCTTGGCAGTTCTTTGGCGTTTGATAAATTTAAATTGTTTGGACTGTTTTGCTCCCTCAAATTGGTAGGTGAATTAGTTGACTTCTTTACAGAACGAGTTGATCTTCGAATCGGCAATAAACTCTGCCTGGCTGGTGTACTCGTCATAGATCCATCTGGTTCTGACAACGCCTCAGCTATATCTTCTTCGGCACTAACATCAGTCAAATCAATACTAATACTTTTCTCTACTCGGGTGCTTGGTTCATTTGAGAAGTTTGGTGAATCACCTTGCAACTTTTTCACGGAACGAGTCAATTTTTTTGGACTTGCAGACTCGTCCTTTTCACTGTCCAATTCTTCATCGGCGCTAACATAATTCGAAGCTAAAGATTTTTTTACCGCATCTTTGCCAACAGAATTAGTTGAATCGTGGCTTTTCATCTTCAAGCTGGAAACCCTTGAGCTTTCTTCCATAGAAAAAGCCAATTCCTCTGGACCAGCAGATTCGTCCGACTCGAAGGATTCAGCACTAACGTCACTCAGAACAAACGGTGACTCCGGCAGTTTCTTTCCAGAACGAGTTGATCTGTCAACTGGTAAAGACTCATCCGGCATTTCAATATCTGAACCCTGATCAACGAATGATTTGGCGCTGTGGTCTTGATCACCTGATTTTTGTCCAGAGCGAATAGATCTCTCAAGTTGGGTACTTTGTTTAGCAGGCGTGGTTGCTGTAGACTTTCTCAATTCTTGATCAGCACCGAGCGATGATTCTTTGGACGTGTCTGCTCTGGAAATAGGCGTGTGCAACTTTTTCGCAGAACGAGTTAAACTCTGAACATTGCCACCTGCCATCTTTTCATCGATAGGTAGAGTATCGTCACGCTCATACTGATCAGTTGATTCTGACAATGAGCGCGAACAGTTGAACTACCGGACACATTACATTTGTATTCAGATTGATCAGTTGATTTTGACAATGTGTCATCTTGCGCAGTGTGTTTTTTTAATGAAGGTGCGCTTGGCGTATTTTGCTTAGAGGGCGTGTGTTCAATCATCGATTTTATTGTAGATCGAGTCAATTTTCGGGCACTCGTGGGTGTCGCAATTACCGGTACCGTGGTAGTACTGCCACTTGGAGTAGTGACGCTTAAAGTTGGTGGAACAGTAGATTGTACTGTATGCTGTATTATTGCCACATTTTTGGAAGGGCTCAATAAATTAACGGAGATTTTTTTAATCGAAGTCGACGGAATGACCGGATTGGTTATCTCCATAACCTCCCAATCGTTGACTGATGCCGTCGAGGCCCTGAGTGGTGTGCGAGTTCTGGTCAAGACGGGTGTGCAATATACGCTACATGGTGAGGATGGCACAGTTTCATCGCTCTGTGCCTCTTTTCGCTCAGAAACGCAGCTCTCCGACTGTGAGGGCGCTTCAAGGGCAGTCTCAGGCGATAAATTGGAAGCATCCAAAATCTCAGGTTCGTTAAGATCCGAATATGGACCGTAGTCTTGATATGGGATATCTATATCGGAAGTGGGATCAACATCGAACAGCTGTTCTTCATCATCTCCAAGTTTTTTTAATTCAACCTCGGACTCGTCACTATCATCGGCTTCTTCTCCTTCAGCACACACGACCGGCTCCCAAAATTCCTCTTCATCCTCCTCCTCCAGTGTCTGGCACTGATTTCCGACAGTCTTTTGGCCTTTTTCTAGCGACTCTAATAAACTGATCCCACTTAGATCCTCATCATCCTCAGTACTGTGCACACGATCAGGCGATACTGAATAGAACGAGTGCGATACAACCGAAGGAGTATCACAAACGCTTTGATCCCAAATTTTTCTGGCAGATGATGGTGGGGACGAAACCTTCCGTGGTGACGACTTCTTGGCAACTCTGGGAGTGCTCGAGTGTCGAGCACCAATCGTAACTGGGCTTCTAGTTGATGAGTCAGGTTCTTCGGGACTTTCTTCCATGTTCACAATTTCGTCGGTATCCTGCAGCAATTGCGGGGGAACTTCCTTCTCTAAAGTGGTCGTGGTTCGTTTGGAAGTTCTCGATCTGGACGCAATGTTCATAATTTTCTCCACAGATTTGGTTACAGTAGGTTGCACACTTTTCGTCTCGGCCTTGGTGTCTTCAGATTTCGTTTTTTCGTCGTCAATAGTTTTGATGTTTGGCGATTGTGGTGAACCATCACTACAAATTTAGTGAGTCATTAATGCATTTAACTCCCCAAGGTAACTTACACATTGTCAAATAGAACATTTTTACGTGAAGGACTTGGACGGGGAATAACATCAAACAGATCCGTTTTCCTAAAAAAAAAATGAAATAATTACAGGACACCATTAATGTTTGGGGTTCATAGCGGATAAAAGAAATACTGGTTTAAATTACATTTTATTACATCTCCAATTTTTTGGTGCCCCTCGCCTCACAAGTGAGGGGGGGGGTCCCTAACTTCACCAATACCATTTTTATAGACTAAAGAAGAGGACAGATTTATGACAAGGACCCACATACATATTTAAAATGTCCACTGTTAAAGAGTGGGGTGAGTTTTGCTGCCTCTTGGCCGTTCTCCACAGCTGGAAGACCTAAAACGTAAAGGTGAGGGTGGCGCCGTTGACAACCTGTTGCGATACTGATTAGGGTAATCAGTTGCTTATATTTTTAAGTGTAACTTGGGTTTAGTATTAGAATCTCCATTTCGATCTGGAAAATTATCTACCTTTACACCTTCTCCCTCGCCTCCTCCACCTCGAAAAGTTCCTGGTTTGAAGCGTCTTCCCCTTCAAGATCTACAGTAAACCTTTCAACCAATGATAATAAAAATCGTATTTTTTATTAAAATATTTTATTTTTTTTATTATATGGCAAAATGGGTCCAGTTGACATTTTATTTTTGTAAAATTGTAACAAAAAACAAAACATGAAAAATCATGTACCTACCATTTTTATTTTTTAGGAGGGAAAGTGCGCCTGTGTAGATAGAGAAATTGTTTGAAAAAATTACGCCCGAATCTCCTTCTTAATTAAAACCTATTAAATAAAAATAAAAGCGGTTTTCTACAAGGTTTGAGTGTTGAGATCTCAAACCCTTGGGCGGCAACGCTGATTAAAAAACAATCATACACTGCCGACACTTTACTGATTTTGTAGTTTCAGTTACCCAGAGGTATAATTTGTTTAGGGGGGTGCCATTTGAAACTTAAAAAAATATGTTATTTGGCGAAGGCCAATCAAAAATTTACTGTTTTAAATAAAATACCTAAAAAAAATGCCTCAGTTCAAAAGTTAGCCGGCGCGCCGGTGTGGTTTGAGTTCTCTAAAAAAATTCGAAAAATTGTCAAAATTTGGGGGAAAAAGGTTATAACAGCGAAATTGTTAAAGTACTTTCCAAATCAGTAATAAAATATGGGGTGTTCCATTAAAAAAAAAAAGTAAGTTTGGTACGACACTGGAATACAGCACGCCCCTGGTTTTCAAAAAAACACGGTGACGGCAATTGTGTACAATCTTGCTTTAAGACTTTTTTCGGGATCTTTTATAGTAAAGGAATTGTGATCCGAGGAGTCTTAGATGCTACACCCTGTATATTGCTATGTGCAACCACCCAACAGACAATTCACTAATTTGGATGCATTTATTTGTCCGGATTAAAGAGGTTGCCCTATGTTTCTACATTTATGAATAAAAATTCCGTCTAGTATATCCTGAAAAGTTCTGTTTGTCGTGTTGTGCGTGCACTTGCATTGTCATGCTGATTTATACTGTTTTTTCTAAATCGCCGACCACTCTGGGGGGGGGGGGGACAAATAGAAGTATACCAATCACCAATGAGCGGTTTTTCAAAAAAAAAAAAAACAAGCAATCAGTTTCCTTGAAACGTTTCGCAAGCGCACCACTTTTGTTAGTTTAGGACAGGGGTGGCCAAACTGCTTATGAGGTCTACTTGTGTAAATAAAAAATGTTTTCATATTGGGGGTGTAAGGTGTAACTGCAAACACTGGAAGATAATGATAATGCTTGCAGGCAAGAATTTTGCAATTTCTATCTAAATCAGTTGCAACTGGATCCACTGTTTTATGGTCGGATGAATGTACATTTAGTAACAATTGCAAATATTCACCGAACTTGGCGCCGCAAAAATCTGTGAGTTACTGTGGCAACTAACTTCCAGCGAAGACTTAGTTTAAATTATTATTATTATTATCCCTCTCTTGTTTTGGGCCCTCAACAGGCATGCGCCCAATTACAGAGTGACCCGCATAATGCTATTTAGAGATGCACAATGGTACCATGACCTACTGAATAAAAATCTTTTTGGAAGAATTACCTCTTGCAGAATTAAATGGGCTGTATTTTCAACAAGACGGGGCCGCAGCACATAACGCTCTATTAAATGTAAATTGCTACCCCACCATTTTCCTACAAAGTGGATAGGCATTTCCTATATATTTTTTATAAATATACAGGGTGTGAATCCACTGGTGATTTTAAGGAGAAAAGTTTATATCGACATATGTCCTAAATTTAATAAATAAAATTGTCAGTTCAAACCCTGTACGGACGTCACTGGTGAAAATTTAAATTAATCGTTTAGGTCAAAAAATGCTCCTTAATGATGAAAAGGTGTGTACAAAATTTCATACAAACATCTAAGAGCGATAAAAAATTATGATAAAAACTCATTTTTTTCTTAAAATTTCAACACCCTGTCGCTTAAAGTTAAGCCGAGGGGGTAACATCTTCTCAAATTTTGTGACAGTATTGCGACAATCCCCATGATTTCCCTACGATTGCGACCACAATCCTGGAATTGCGATGCGATTGTCGGATTTTAGAGGATTGCATGTGATTATGAATGATTGCAGGTGATTGTGGGTGACTGACAAAGATTTCTGGTAGCTGCTCAAGTTGCTATACACGGGCATCACGTAAAAAAGAAACATATTCATTTATGTTGGCTATTAGGGAATTCTTAGTTGGTAACAGGTACTTTTAAACACACAAATAAGAAGTTAAAAAGGTAATCGTAAATCTCGTCGTAAACGATTTATAAAAAGCGCATTACTCGGCGCATTACAATTGCATTCATTTCCCATACTGTAAAATGCAAGCAAGCAAACTTAAACTTAAAATTTCGTAAAAATCCGGCTACAAATAAGAAAGTTAGCGTTGCACATGTGCAATCGATTTTTGACTTGCTGCCTTCAATTTCAGTTTATAAAAAGAACCCTACCCTAAAATTTCAGGGTATTTCTGGGCATGCGCAAAACAAATTATTTGATTTGGCATTATACTCTATTCATTTTAAGAAGGTAGCGGTAGAAAGCATAGGGACAGTTTGACCTTCACTGTGATTGGTTAAAACACGAGTCAGTATTACCCTGAAAAATTAAAGGAGTAACGAATTCTGTCTGTTAGAAGTTTCAGTTACGAACTAAACTGTCGAACTGTCATTAGCTGTCAATTTCAAAGATCCAAGTGTGATATCGTGTGATTTATATTTATATTTTTCAAATCTTGTGCCGTTTTATATTTTTCCTGTGTGTGTCTATCTTCAAACACAGCGCCATCTACTACCTTCTTATAATGAATGCAGTATAGTTTCATCTTTATTCGAGATGCCTACATACAAAATTTTATTTAAATAACTTAACAAATAAAAAAAATCCGATTGCGCATGAGCCCAATATATTTTTTGACTCGGCACTAGTTTTACTTTAGTCGAGGTCGCCATCTACATCTACAGCCTACATAAAAAGTTTCATTTAAGTATTTAACAATTAAAAAAATGGATTGCGCACATACAAAAGCTATCGTGCACACGGGCGGATAAACAGATACACTGACAGACGGGCATACAGACAGACAGCAATACAATACAATCTCAAAAAAATGGTTTTTTTTGCCATAACTTTTTTCGTAAGCGGCACAGAAAAAATTCCTTCCTTGGTGCAAACCTTGACAGCATAACGAACC